TTAGGGTTTAGGGCTTAGGGGTTCGTGAACCCCACGTCACGAGGATCGACGTCGCGGCGGGCGGGAAGAGCCGTGGGGAGATGACAGGCCACGTCTTTTAAGGTCACGGACCTAAATGATCCTGAAAAGCATGGGATCTTCTTAGATAGCCAATGGGAGAACTTTAAACTTTAAACTTTTTGGCTTTATATATTAGGTCTATCCTAAAAAGTTAGAACTTTTTGGGGCCTGGTTGTTGAAGAAGAGAGTCTTCTTATACAGTAACATAAGGGGCTTGAATAGTTAACTATACTATTTTTTGGGCATCCTTATGATAATTACAGTACTGGCTATGACCCTAAGCCCTACATCTTGGAGCCTCTAGCCCCGAACCCCGCGCGCAATCTCTTTCAAAGGTCTTTAGGGCAGGAGCCGCCGTAGACCCTTTTTTTAGGGTTCATTCGGTCCTTACGGAACGAGCTTTGCTCCAGGGAGCTGTGTAACTTTGTGTTTCAGGGGTTCTTTTTGGTTGTGAAAGGACAGATGAGGGTAAACAGGAAAGGCACCGCATTTGGGGGTTTAGGGTTTAGGGGTTTAGGGTTAGGGTTTAGGGGTTTAGGGTTAGGGTTTGGGGTTTAGGGCTCAGGTTTCTCTTGGGAATCTAGGTTTAGGGCTTGGGATCTGGGCGAATTCCAGCGATAGCCTATGCTTTCGACTCTAAAATGGGAGTTTCCGGAAACAAGGGGTACCTTATTTAGGGGTCCTTACAATAAGGATCCTACTATTAGGGCACTACATCAGGGTCCACTATTTTCGGAAACCCCCAAATAGACGGTGGGCCTAAGGCCCCAAAACTCAAAGCCTCTCAGGCCTCGACCCAGAACAATTAATACAGAGGCCGGAAGAATTAGTATTCCCGGGGCTAACCCTAAATCCTAAACCCGAGACCCTAAAACCCTAAAGCCCTAAACCCTAAAACCCTGAACCCTAACACCCTACAACCCTAAACCCTAATCCCTAAAACCCTAAACCCTAAACCCTAATCCCTAAACCCTAAACCCTAAACCCATTGAGGCATGGGCTCCCAGTGAGCCTTGTAGGGACCTCACGCACGGCCTCGAAAGCCTCGAAAGCCTTAATGTAGGGGCCTTAATAATGAGAATAGGTTTTAGGGTTTAGGGTTTAGGGTTTTGGGGCCCAATGATACTATAACTACGACAAGGACCCCCCCCCAAAAAAAAAACAAAATAATAGCATAGGTCATTATTAAAATTATAGGCCCCTATACAAAGCTCCCACTCCGATACCCCGTTTCTCGGCTCTGGGAAAGACAGTAAAGCGCAACCCTAACCCCTAAACCCTAAACCCTAAACCCTAACACCCGAAGCCCTTCACCCTGAACCGGTGTTTAGGGGAAGGCGGATGAGCTTTTGGGGGTTTAGGGTCTAGGGGGTGTGGGGTTTAGGGGTTTAGGGTCTAGGGGTTTAGTGTTTCGGGAAATCAGCCCTGAACCCTAAAATCCCCAGCCCCAAGGCCTGAACCAGCAACCCCAAAACCCCCGACTGAGCCCTGAATCCTTCAAGCCCTACACCCTACACCCCCCCAAACCCCAAAACCCCCTAAACCCTACACCCTAAACCGCCAGAAACAGCCCCTGTCCCTGCCAAAATCCCAAAATCCGAAAGCCCATGAGCGTCAGACCTTCGAAAGCCTTAAATCCTGCACCCTCACAGAGTTTAGGGTTCAGAGTTCAGGGTTTTAGGGTTTCGGGTTTTAGGGTTTCGGGTTTAGGCTTTGGGGTTTAGGGGTGTAGGCTTTAGGGTTTAGGGTTTAGGGGTGTAGGCTTTAGGGCTTCGGGTTTAGGGTTTGTAGGGTTAAGGGACTCCAGGCATCAGCCAAGTCTCAATCTGGCGCAACTGGTTCCTGGACGGCGCGCAGACGCTGAGCGACCTAAAGGCCTCCTGTTGTACAGGTTTCAGGGGTTTTGGGGTTTAGGGGGTCTAGGGTTTAGGGTTTGGGTTAAGGGTCTAGGGTTTAGGGTTTAGGGTTTAGTTGAGAATCAGGTTTCAGGAGACTTATGTTTATCTCTATGTTGTTTCTAGCTTTTGGTGGGGTTCATGGTTCACGCGCTTTGTGATAAAGGCACGCTTGTCAGGGTCCCGAATATTGGTCCCTACGTTTTGGCTTTAGGTCGAGGGTTTTGAGTTTAATTTAGTGGCCTTCCGGGGCCGTTGGGACAGAACCAGTACATAGCCCTATAGGGTTCAATCATATATAGCAGACGGCCCCTGAGGACGGGGTCCCTGCCAGGATTTCTGCCAGCTTCCTTTACATAAAGCCAGGGATCCAGGAGTATGTCGCATTTGTTTTGTTGTTTTTTGCGTTGGTTTAGGGTTTAGGGTTTAGGGTTTAGGGTTTTCGGACAACCTTATGTACACCTTAAACCGCAGCAGTGCATGTGCTCTGCGGTTTTGTTGTCTGCGCCGGGTTTGTGTGCGCGCCCGAAGCTGGTTTGAGGGCTCAGGGCGTGGGGCCAAGGGCTTAGAATTATCGGTTTTTCTTTTTTCGGGTTTGGTTGCTTGTGGTCTCAGTAGTGGTCTGGCTAGTGCCGGAGGTTGTTGTGGTTGTCGTCGTTCTCCTCGTCGTTGTTCCCTCCGAAGTACTCATGACCCTTCTGCCTAGTTCTACTTGCACGATGGCCCTGAGCCTAAATCATAGCACCCTACACCCACGCCCTGCAGCCTGACACCGCAACAACCACAACATGCTAACCCCCACACCTCATGATTGCTACTTCCGCCGACCGGGCGTGAGGCCACCTTCAACTTCGAGCAGCAGGACGCAAGCCCCGAATTCTGAATCCTAAACTCTAAACCCTAATCCCTAAACCCTACACCCCTAAACCCTAAACCCTAAACCCCTAAACCCTAACCCCTCAACCCTAAACCCTAAACTCTAAGCTTTAAACTCCTTGCCCTAAAGCCTCCCACTGCAGGGGTAATATAGGGTCCTAAAGTAATTACGGTTTAGGGTTTAGGGTTTAGGTTTTAGGGTTTAGGGTTTAGGGTTTAGGGTTTAGGGTTGAGGGTTTAGGGTTTAGGGTTTAGGGTTCCGATAAGTATAATTATAGTCTACTATGCCCCAAAAGCCCCATTCTAATTCTTGACCACCCTATATTATGGAACCCTTATGCTAGCCCTTATAGTATCCCTTTTAAGGATTTTTTTAAAGGAACCCTTTAAAGGAACCCTATTCGAATCATTAAGGCCATTTATTTGGACTGAGCAGCAGATGCTCCAGTGTTTTGACTTCTGCTCTAAAGCTTTGAAGCCCGACCAGGAACCTTAAACCAAATCCTAAAGTCAGGGTTTAGGGTTTAGGGTTTAGGGTTTAGGGTTTAGGGTTTAGGGTTTAGGGTTTAGGGTTTAGGGCCCTAAAGCCCAAAAACCTGGAACCTAACAACCTTAGAACCGAAACCCTGACCCCCCAAACCCCTAAGCCCTCAAACCTAAAGCCCGACACCTAGCAGAACCTACACCCCAAACCTAAGACACAACCCCCCAACACCCTGAACCCTAGGACCCTAAACCCTGCACCCAAGCCTCCCCAAACCCTGAACCCTAAACCCTTATAAACCCTCATAAACCCATATAAACCCCTTATCAACCCCTTATATAAGCCCCTATAAACCCTAAACCCTATAAACCTCAGCCTGACTGGCTGGGTTGGCAAACTTAGTAAGCAGGCAAGTCGTAGACGATAAGTACCCCAAAAGGGGTCCGAATAGTGGTTACGATGCTTGTAGGTCAAGAAAGCAGCTCCCAAACCCTAAGCCCTGAACCCTAAACTGAAAACCTTAGCCCAAAACCTACTTACTAAGCCCCCTGGACCCTCCAAGAAGAAACACTCTGCAGCCAGCATGTATCCACAGAGCCGAAATTAAGGCATACAGTAACTTATTACTAAAACCTAGTTTTTGGTAGGGTCCGTATAAATTCGATGTTCGGCTCTCTAAGAAGGCCCGCTTGCGATTACGGCTAGATTCCTGAATTACGGGGCAATGGGCTTGCTGGCCAGGGGTTGAAAGGACGGTCGAAGTCGAAGAGTTTAGAGACACTTCACTTTGGCGAGGAGCTCGTTTAGAACTGATGTTTTTGGATAATTTGTGTAGGGTTACGGTAAGGCCTACTGTACGGGTTCTATGAGGCGTCGTTGGGTTAAGGGCTGCGAATGCAGCGTTAAATCCAAAACCCAAACCCCATGAGCCCGAAAACTCTCAAGCCCTGAGCCTCAGCTTTTTAAAACTTTAACCTCCTTGCGGATGTTTTCGCGGGGGCCTCCTGAACCGCCACCTCCCTAGCCCTAAACCCTAAACTCTAAACCCCAAACATCCTAAACCCTGAACCCTAAACCCTCAACCCTAAACCCATAGAAGTGCGGTTTCTGCCAGGATCTCCATGGGGCGGCCCTGAAAGTGAAGTCGCATGGTGAATGGGTAAGGGTTTCCGATGGTTTGATTTCGACTTCGTTTTAGGGTTTGAGAGCCCTGGTTAGGGATTTGTTTCGAGTTTGGGGAGTTTAGGGTTTGGGGTTGGAGGATCTCGGTTTTGGGCTTCAATCGTTTAGAGGTAGGGTTGTAGGTTTTAGCGTTTAGCAACTGCCTGACACCGCTTCTTTTGCAGATGCAGTTTTAAGGGACCCTGCCGTTTCTGGTCTTCTGCCGTCATCCGCAGAACTGGAGCAAAAACACAAAAATCGCAGATGTTACACTAAGCGCTGCTTTTGGAACGGCCATAAGTTGAAGGGACCCATGGATTCTCTAAGTTTCTGGCCGTCGGAGCCACTGAATCACCAAAGCCCTGAATCGTCGACTTGGTGCCAAACACTCCGCTTGGCTGCCCGCCTTAGCATTGAACACGTGACCCTACAACCCTAAACCCTAAACCCCTAAACCCTAAACCCCAAGCCTGAAATTATGGGAAGGAGCTCTTCCTTCTCATGCTAGTCTTAGGGAAGATACGGCTTGCGGCTATGGGGTGCTGTGCTTCATGTCGGGTATCGGGGCCTCGCACCTCACCGGGTGCTGCGGCTGTTTGTTGGTACAGGCACCCTAAACCCGAAACCCTAAACCCCTAAACCCTAAACCCTAAACCATAAACCCTAAACCCTCAGCCCTAACCCTAAACCCTAAACCCTAAACCCTAAACCCTAAGCCCCTATTAAGTTCTGGTCGCCCTGACTCGCGGCCGGTTCTTGACGTGCTACAGCACCTCCTGTATCTCGAAAGGCAAGATTCAGGGTTTAGGGTTTAGGATTTAGGGTTTAGGGTTTAGGGTTTAGGGTTCAACTCCAAGACAGGACTTCGAAACCCATGAAAAGTTGCCAAGAACCTTGACTTACACCCGACACGCTGAAGCTTTCAAAGCCTCTGCCCTTCGACCTGATACGGGTTTAGGGTTTAGGGTTTAGGGTCTTACAAACAAAAGAAGCGGCTACCACTCGAATGGTTCAGGCAGGAGGCCGTTCCGAGCTTGCCAGAGGACCTCGGCGACACTGGGGCTGCCATTAATGCAGGAAGATGCTTAGAATAGAGATTCCTTTGAAGGGATACTATAAGGTTTACTTAGAGGGGCCTATATGGGCTACTATAAGGGTTTGGGGTTTTGGGGCCTTAATAATTATAGAATAGGGTTTGGGGGTATATTCTACTATAACTATGAGAAGGAACACAAAAGCAAGCACCTACCCAGACACACTGCGCGCAAGACAACTGTCCGAGCAGACGCAAAACACCACTGACAAAAACAACCCCCCCCCCCCCACACACACACACACAAGACCCAATGTAAACACCTAAACCCTAAACCCCCTGACCCCAGCCCCTAAAACGAAAGCTAAGCCCTGCAATATAACAGAGCAAAGTTTGAAGCAAAGCCTTGTAAAGGTTCATAAAATCCTGCCACACACTGTAAACTTCGTCGCACTCTTATAGAACCTCCCGAGCACTTAATATAGATGCCAAAATAATTACCACGAATATTTTTGGGGTTCCTTTTTTAAGTATAGTATAATGGACCCCCCAAATCCTATTCTAAAAAATTAAGGCCCCTAGATCAGAAGCCCCAGGCCTTCGTGAGCGACCTGGGCCACGAGTCAACGGGGAGCCTGCCGGCAGTGAACCTGATCCTGACTCTCGGCTCTGTCCTGATCCCCTAATAGCCTTAAGCCCTGAACCCTAAACCCCAAACCTGAACCCTGAACCCTAAACCCTAGACCCTAAGCCCTAAACCCTGAACCCTAAACCCTAAAACCTAAGCCCTAAACCCTAAACTTTAAACCCTGAAGCCTAGACCCTAAACCCCAAACCCTTTTCAAGCTTTGGGGTTCCTTACGTTTCAAGGGTCCCAGATAGGGGTTTCCTAAAATAGGGGACCCTAATATAGTACCCTAAATAGTAGGATCCCTATTATAAGGACCCCCAAAATAAGGTACCCCCCCTATTTTCGGAACCCCCCATATAGGGGGTTCGGCAGGGCTTAGGGTTTGGGATCCTGACTTTCGGCTTTCTCTTGAGGTTGAAAGTGTAGGGTTTAGGGTTTAGGGTTTAGGGTTTAGGGTTTAGGGTTGTAGGCTTTGCTTCCTAGTCTTCCAAAGGACCATCAGGTTTAGGGTTTAGGCTTTAGGGTTTTAGTTCTTTTTTTTTAGTTTTTGTTTGGTGGTTCCCGGATCTTTGAGTAGATCCTGACTGTCGGAATTGTTCAAGTATTTGGCATACATAGAACACAATAGGAGGGATCCCAAAGGTTCCCTGTTGTAATGAGGCTCTGCAGCATGTCTGTAGTCGGAGAAATTGCAGCCTCGTGATGAACCTGGTCCAGAGCTTCGGCTTTGCCGGGGGTTGTAATTTGAGAAAATCTTCACAAGTGTGCGGTTAGGTTTTCATGATGTTCGGGGGTTTCGAACTCAGGGTTGGGTTTTGGGGGCTGCATTAGGTACGGTTCCTTACGACGTGTTTAGGGGTTTATCCCTCAGTAGATCCTGACTCTGGGCTTGTTAGGGGGTGCAGGGGTTACAGATGTCAATGGGCTGACTGAGGGTGTGGGGATTATGAGAGCTCCCGTATCCAAGGAGGCAACTTGTCCCTGAACCCTACGCCCTGAACCCTAAACCCTGAACCCTAAACCCTAAACCCTGAACCCTAAACCCTGAACCCTAAACCCTAAACCCTGAGCCCTGAGCCCTAAACCCTGAACCCTAAACCCTATATCCTAAACCCTAAACCTTAAACCCTAAACCCTAAACTTTTCGGTATGTTTACAAGAGTCCTCCGAGGCCAACGAGCCTTTGCTCCTCTGAAGTGGCCCGGGCCGCGGCGACGAGGACTCCGCGGCCCCCTTCGGGGCTCTCTTGGGGTTTAGGGTTTAGGGCTTTAGGGGGTTTAGGGTTTAGGGTTTAGGGGTTTGGGGTTTAGGGTTTAGGGTTTAGGGTTTAGGGTGTAGGGTTTAGGGCCCCTTCAACTCTTTT